GAGAGAGAGAGAGAGAGAGAGAGAGAGAGAGAGAGAGAGAGATAGTGAGCAAATGTCTAGGCTATACCATTACATACGATGTTAAATTTACCACACAAATAAAACAAAATATTGAACAATAAAAAGAGACCAATCCAGAAGCACTGAAACACTTCAATGACGACCAAAATGTTTTAAAAGGAAGGCCATATCTGGTCAACCCTATAATTATAGGCTGTGAATGTTGAACAGTTACTCAAGTTGGTGAAAACAAACTTAAAGCAACTGAAGTGCAGTTTCTTGAGAGTTTGTTCAGAATTTCATGGAAAAGAAAATAAATGTGGTGATGGAAGCAGCCCATGTGGTCTTCTCACTAAGAACAGCAACAACAACAAAAAACCAATACAGAAGAGATAAAAACTAGTCACGGGGACACTTGGGTAGATATAAAAAATACCTGGAGCGTCTTGCTCTCATTGGAAAAAAAGGAAAAAGAGGCACGGTTAGACCAAGAACAATTTACTGAGAGAACATTAACGAATGGGTTACGGGAACAGATCACAGAAACATAGATTTTTCAGACCAACCGAAAAGAGAAATGATTGACGAACCGCGTTTGCGAAATGTCTCTGTCAGATCTAGACTCAATGATACTGAAGCAATAATTAGTCTTTTTCATTACAATTCTATTACGTTTTCAAAGGGTTTTTCTGTCTTTGAGTAACATAATATTATTATTTTATTTCCATAGAGTTTAAGAACAGTTCACACTTGTGGCGTGGATAGTCTAGTGATTCGGCTTTTGAATTCTCAACCGTAAGGTCGAGGGTTCGAACACCATCAGGGGCCCAACGTTATGTTCATGGGAGAGGCACTGTACACGCATTTTCCTCTCTTTACTCATGTGGGAATGGGTATCCGGTTATGGACAGTGAAAGATCTTGTAAGTGTGTTAGTGTTTTTGCACGTGTAACACGCAGTTTCCTTTGTATACTTCCTGGGAAGTCGAGAATATTTATTTAATATTCTAGTGTTCTAAAGGGCATAGAGCATACTGTAAAAGGTGGATATGCGCTGTATAAGTAGGATTATTAACTATTATTATTATTTTTATTATTATTATTATTATTATTATTATTATTATTATTCATTTTTATTATTATTATTATTATTATTACTATTATTACTATTATTATTTTTATTATTATTATTATTATTATTATTATTATTATTATTAATATTATTATTATTATTTATTATTATTAAATGGGAGGCATCGTAGTGAAATAAAGTGTTCGCCCAAAAAAATAAATAATAATAACTTAACGACACCACCCGTTTCTGCACCTCGGGAAATTTCTATAGTTTGTTTATTGTTGTTGTTGCAGATGTTTGTTTTGGACTCAATAATTTTTCAATCTACGTCAATTTAAATGACATATTTCTAAACGAATTTTATAGAAAAATGTTATCTAAATATACAGAAAATATAAGTTGGCAGTTTCCAAGGACACCGTAGATTTCAAAGTCACCAAACTTTCGCTTCCATTTTACCTCTGAAACAATGCGACGCCACCACACCTTCATAAACCGTAAATATCTCAACCTGTATTCAAAATAGAAGGGTGGTTTTTATTCCTAAAAAGACAAACGAAGACGCACTAAGATGGAGCCAACTCCAGAATATGCCCCAATATTGACGAGTGCCAAATTCCACAGTGTCGTGACACACATTATGGTAATAATGATTCATGATTACTACCTATTACTAAGAACGTATATTAATTTATGTATTCATTATGCCAAAATAGAAGACAACTCTTTGACACAACGTAGAGTGTTCTCATAATCTTACATGTTACTGCAAAGGTGGAAGAAGATCGTGATTATTTAAAACAGGATATACTTTTCTGGACAAAGTCTTGTTTGTTTAAGAAAAGGACATATCAGCAATCTAAAATCAACACATTCTTAAACACACTGAAAGAATAGAAGATCTTTTCTGCAGACTGAAAGACATTTGAACCACTTCTTGCACACAGAGCATTATTTGAGTTTGGTTGCCCAGCTCTATTTACAAGGCGATATGTGCAAACCGAATCAGAGAGAGAGCTCTTTATGTAGACAGTATGCCAGACTAAATGCCCTTTGAGCGGTAGCGGAGAGCTAAGAGACGGAACATGACCCAAACATGTTTCTGTCCTCCTCAAAGGTTCGATGGGCATTTAAGTAAAATGGATAATTTTTAAAATACAACTGTCTTACCTGACATTCTCAAAGCAGACAATAAACCCTACCGCTGACTAATAGTAATAGTAGTTGCTTGCTCATCTCCAGCGTGACATTTATTCGATAAAGATGTGTTCAAGTAATATAATAATTGTAGCACACCTTTTTCTTTTTCCATTTTTTAAATTACAGTTTTTAAACCTTTGTTTTATCTCACCTGGCCAGAAAAGCTGCTTTTAAATGATTTTAGTTTCTGGTCGTCGTTAGAAATATTTAAAAAGTACGTATTGTACTTTCCTTGGAAAAACAATATGAGGAGTGTTTGGTCACACTTGTTTGTTTTTTGCTGTTGTTGTTGTTGTCGTTTTTTTATCGAGCTTTTCCACAACTGAACAGGCGAACGTGCAAACTGCGCAACGGCAACGATCTCTGTTTTTCTCTCCGCCCCCCCTTCTCTCTCTCTTTCTCTCTTTCTCTTTCTCTCTCTGTATCTATCTATCTGTCTCTGTATCTATCTCTCTCAGTCTTTTGCTATCTATCTATCTATCTATCTATCTATCTATCTATCTATCTATCTATCTATCTATCTATCTATCTGTGTTAGTGTGTGTATGTATGTGTTTGTGCGT